CATCCAGATAGGATGCTTTCTATGGTGCATCTATAAAAATTGGTAAGAGTCCTTGTGGGCATGCCAAATTTCCTTAGCCTCCTGAGGAATAGATGAAGTGGGTGTTAAATATAACAGTGAAGCTGGAGGAACACAGCAGGCCAGGCAGCACCAGAGAAGCAGGAAAGCTGACGTTTCGGGTCAGGACCATTTTTCAGAAAACCCGAAACGTCAACTTTCCTGCTCCTTTGATGCTGCCTGGCCTGCTGTGTTCCTCCAGCTCCACACTGTGTTATCTCAGACTCCATCATCGGTAGTTCTTACTATCTCTGTGAGGTAGTGGTGTGCTTTCTTGACTGTTGCATCGATGTGGATGAACCAGGACAGATTATTGGTGATCATCACTCCCAAAAGTGTTGTGTGCTTGGTGATTTTTTTCCTTCTACCTTCTGATTCACAGCCACTACTGCAATACTTTTGTATCCTCTATAGTGAAGACTGAAGCAATATCACAGTGACTATGTTTTCATTTGCAATTAGTAAAAGTTGTTGTTATTCTCAGCTTGGTGAATATTGCACCATATGCTCATCATGTTGGCAAAAACTGTTATTTTTCCACTTCATCCAGACTTTGCTAAGTGGGCAGAGAGACATTATCCTTTAGTGCAGTTTCTTGTTCAAAGAATATTTTCATCATTGTAAAGCTCTAAGTTCCAATGATTCAATTTTGATTCTGTTGAAAAATGAATAATTAAATACTAGTTATAAAGCAGTGTTATAAATATTTCAGAGAGGTAATTGTTATCTGTGATCCTCCATAGCTGCCAAGCTACCTCTATCCTGATATTTCCCTTGTGAATCTAGCTACACTTACACCCAGGAGAGTATTAACCAACTGATATTACCATAAAAACTAAGGTTGCTAATGGAATGAGGAGAGAGATACTTGGGGGTGCTTGCTTTAATTTTTCATTCTTTCCTAGATATGGGGAAGGTGCCATGAGTGGGAAATCACAATAATGTTCCTCCTATTCAAGACAGGACACAAAGAAAGCTCTTGCAAG